AGGAATGGCATTTAACTCCGAAGTTGGAGTGGATACAATACTGTGACAATACCCGATACTACCCCGGGTCCCGGGCCGGTATCGTACCAGAAACTCACTACGATACCGGGTACAGTATTGCCATACGCAATACTGCTGGGAGGCTCAGCCGGTAGCGTATTGTACCTCAGATACTGATACTGACGATACGATACCGTCGAAAAAGCTACGATACCACTACGATACCGATACCGGTAGCGTAATTGTGGCAGCGTTGGCAACAGGTACTGTACTGGTATAATATCGAGAATACTAGTACAGTACCTTACTTTACAATACCCGTCAAAACACTACTCAGTACAGTACTGGGAATACAATACTGCACGCAGTACAGTAATCAAAACCTAGGTACTACCAAAAATTAGTCTGAGTAGGGTACTGTTTTCCACACCTAGATACACAGCCCCCAGCTACTAGGCTCTGGCAGGCCAGAGATTACCTTGGCTCCATGAAAGATTTATGAAAGATTCAGAAAGATTTCAAACTGACCTCAACATAATATCATATGGGGCCATTTGCCTGTCCGGCCACCAAAATTCCGATGTCATCATATGACATCATAAATCTGTACACACCTGATCCTGTATTCACAGATCAAGAATATATAGTCTATTAAACTTTATCATGTAAATTGACTGAGTTATTGAGGTTTGAAAACAAATCACGGATAAAAAATACTATTTGTGTACTATACATAAGACTGGGATCTTGAATATCTTCAATCTTTGTCAATATACATATACATCAGATCGTATGTTCCACTGTACAATACAGGTTTTTACATTTTGTATTTTTGCAGCCTTTGTCCAAAATAGGGCTGTGACCCGGCCCTGGCCCCGCCCGGCCAACTGTGCCCGCTGGTGTTCTGGAAGCAGACAGTACACGCCCTGACACACCAAAACCTACTTAATAAGGGTCATAAAAGCCCTGTGAGAACCCAGGCAGCCCGGTCTGCCCCGGTGCCCGTCATTTTTTTTGCTGAATACTCTAAAAAATTGCCTTTTGAGTTGGGTCCCATGGCTCTCTCCAAGGTCTGAGTAGGCTGATATAAGGTTTATGTACAATTTTATACACCTAGATGTGCAACAAACACCAGAAATACCCCCTATGGCCCCTATTACCTCTTAAAATCAATTCAGGGTGTGCCCTGGCTGGCCCTGAGTGTTTTCTGGATCCCCTCAGGTCTGCCCAAGGCCAGGCAATGCGCCGGGGCCGCCCTGTCACACTCAGGGCCGGGTCACAGCCCTAGTCCAAAAGGCATATTTCTATATGTAATTCTGAATTCTACATGAGCAGTCCAATCTATCCCTGATTTGTTGATTCTAGGAAGGATATGAATAAATTGATGGCAGAAAATTTTGGAAATTATTATTTACATGCATATCAGTCTATTTGTGCCTAATTTGGGCCCTACAATTCATCACAATTTGCCTCAAGGTCAAAGAACTTCAGAAAATCTAACTTCTGTATATAATCCACAATTACATATAAAAATACTACCCATAGACAAAGACTGTAGGGGACAGAAATGTGGAGAAAAATAGTGCGGAAAATATTATCAAATTTAATGTATATGTATATTGACAAAGATTGTAGATATTCAAGATCTCAGTCTTGTGTATAGTACAAAAATAGTATTTTTTATCCGTGATTTCTTTTTCAAACCTCAATAACTCAGTCAATTTACATGATAAAGTTTAATAGACTATATATTCTTGATCTGTGAATACAGGAGCAGGTGTGTACAGATTTATGATGTCATATGATGACATCAGAATTTTGGTGGTCGGACAGGCAAAGGGCCCCATATGATATTATGTTGAAGTCAGTTTGAAATCTTTCTGAATCTTTCATGAATCTTTCATGGAGTCAGTGGAAGGCTCTGGCCGGCCAGAGCCTAGTAGATGGAGGCTGTGATACTGTACTGTATTGGTATTGTGGGACTTCAAAAAGATACTGTACTATACCACAGCTAGGGAAGGTACTGCATAGTATTGTCCAGGTACTGAGAAAGTACCTGGAATATCTGATGAGATGAAATGAAAATAAAATGCATATCTTGCCTAGATGACAAAGACCATAATATTAGGATAAAAGAAAGGAAAGACAATTAAACTAAAGATAATTAGTAAAGACAGTCAAATAAGAATACAAGAGGAAAACAAAATTGCAGAAAAGTAAAATAATAATATCAAGACCTCCTCACTTGGCAGGCCGCATCAGTAGCCATACATTGATTCATCATTTCCCCGGCTTTGACAAATTTGCCCTTCATCTGAATGCCTTCAACTGACCACATACGCCCACAAACCAAGCGTTCGATTGGCCGTGGGTTGAGAGAACTTTGATCTCTAGTGCAGATATCTGCCGTGCACGAGAAGCAATGTTCAACAGCACAAGAGGTGCCACTGATGGCCAAGTAATCTTGGGCAAGGCAGCTTAGGATGGGGTATTTCCCTTCATTTACCTACAGAAATTGATGAGATATTAACATCTTGAAGAATTATAAGAAACAACATTAGGGACTTGTCTTCCACCATTCCAAAGCTAGATGGAGATTCTTGCCAATTCTGATGCCGGCTCCTCTGCCATCTCCAAGTATGAACGGAGTTTGTGTGTTGTGTCGATTCTTGGCTTCATGTTTTCAAAACTCTTCATCATCCTCTGCATTGCCTAAACTTTTACCATTGACAGTGTGTTAGATGTAATAGGCTTGTACGCTCCATCAATCTCTAATTTGGTCTTCTTGTCGCCGTAAGCTGTTTCAATGAGATCTTTAGCAAGGCTTGCTTCTTCAGATGATTCTCCAAAAGCGAATTCAAAGTAGTCGAGTCGCAAACTTGGATGGAGGATATTTGCTAGAATGAGAGAGTGGGATTCAAGCGCCTCCTTTAGAAAGGCCTTGACTTGAACCAACATTGCATGATACAATGGGAACAGTGGCTCAGCACGTGAATGTGTTGTGTTGATGTTCTTCTGCAGCAGCTTCTTGAGCTTGACATACTCGTGTATGACGAGGGATCCAGTGGGTCCTTTTTGCTCAAAGAATTTAGTCAAGTTTTCAAACTCCTACATAAGTTTATCAACATTGTTAGAGTGATGAAAACAAATGTGGTCAAAGAAATACTTACCTGGAGAACTTTGATCAGATCCCGTACTTGTTGCCACTCATCTGGCGAAATCATCACTTTATTAAAGACTCCTTGAGGTCGGTGCACATCTGGTGGTAGGGGTGTCTCTCCCACTTGGCTTGATCCACCCCTGGGCAACTCCATCTGGTCTTCTTTTAAGATGTGATCGATCACCTGAAATGTATGTCAGATTTGTCAATGAAGTAATGAAGTCAATGGTTCAAAAATGAATGACTTACCTCGTGCGCGTTATATAACCGGCTCCAGCATTGGAGCTTGATGTTCCACCATATAACGTACCCAGGAATTGGCCTTGGGAGTTTTTCAGATAAGAGTGCTTGGCTGACAGCATCAAACAGGCAGCACATGACTGCAGAGCCACCAATCTTGCATCATACAACATCAAGCTAATGTAAGGTATATTGTAATGGTCAGCAATAAATGTTTGTAAAGATGAATATAGAAATTAGAAAAGCAGGTTTTGGAAGTCTTACCTTTGTCATTAGCGAGTCCACTGTGTTTGCTGCGTTTTGATTTCTGGCCAAGGGTTTGATAGTCGGGGGATGAATCTCATGAGGTCCATCAATCAACCCATACCAGTTGGGAGTTTCAGAAGCAGGCTGAAGATCAGAATCATCAACCTCTTCAGCTTCTTCTTCAGACGCATCTTCAAGGCCAACATCAGCTGTTTTGTCTTCTTCAGCAATAGATTGTAATGTGGTGGTTGGAACTGGGAAATTGCCAAGCATTGTGGATTTCACAAGAGGTGGCGGTGGTGCCTGTATACCAAGGGCCTGAAGGCCCGCATTAACAACTAGGGCCAGCTTATGGCACACACATCAAACACGGTTGGTCTTGTGATTCCATTTGAAGACTGCATTGTTTGCTTCACAGTGTTTGCTGATCTGTATATTCATGGCTTCAGCAAGAGTATTGTTATTGCTTCCAGAATCGTGGGTTTGAGCTAACATATAGATAAAGAAAAAGGATCAATTAGAAAGACAAAAAAAAAAAAAAAAAAGATTGAGACTCATCTTAGTATGAAGGCCATGCTTGATCAGGAGGTTGATCAATGGCTCAGCTAGCCAATCACCTTTGTGATGCCAGACAATTAAATTCAACAAAAAGTGCCTGGTGATGTAGGTCCAGTCCTTTGTGACGAATGTCACACTGGCACCTAAGAAACCATAACAATTGCCTGGGGTTGTCCATGCGTCATGGATAAGCCCAAATGAGCTTTTAAGCGACCAGGAAGACAAAGGAAAGAAGAATCAGAAAAATGAAAAAATGCAATATGAATATAGATACAAATTGGACTTCACCTTTAGTTCATCAATCACAGATGAGCGCATGGCGTGATAGGCCTTGTGTGCAAACTTCGAAACCCACCCTCGACCAAATAGATGGGCCTTTGGATTTGCATATCAAAAGTCTGCCCGTAGATATGGGTCGTCCATTTGCCTCCATGGTAGTGCCGTCCTGATGACCCACATCCCCAACAGCTGATTGAGGATTTGATTGTTGTACTTGAGTACTGTCTGAGCAAAGGTGAGCATCAAATTCTGGCCTTTGTTCGCATTGCCATCTTCAGTTCGCTGTTCATATACTGTCAGTGGAAGTTTACAGCCTTTGGTGATGGCTTTAGAGCATTTCTGACAACCTGGCTTCCCTGACTTCCCGTCTTGTGTGGATCCGTCTCGGTGGGCTAGCAGATTGATACTAGAAGACGGAGCACTGGCAACATTGACGCACCACCACTTGCACGGAAAGGCTGTCACTGCCTTTCCTTTTGCCTGCCATAATCATATTGAAATCATTAGAACAAAAGATTTAAAACTTTGTTGTACAACAAAAATCATGATAAAGCAGAACAAAATGGCACATACATTAATTATGGTGATCACAGGTTCAAAATATTCGCGGATAGGATTGAATAGACGCGGTTTTGCAGGCTTCTTCTCTACCTTCTTGTTCTCATCTTCGGAATCTTGAACCAAGTCGATTGTGAGCTTTACACCACCCTGAGCCTGAATGTTTGCGTCTCCATCACTTGGTTTGGTAGGCTGCTTAGAACGTTTGGAACACTTCTTTGTAGCTGAGGTGGTTGTGCGAGGTATTTTGCGGCAACATTGGGGTGGCTGTGGTGAGGCTTCTTCCTCTGAAGAAGCCTTGTCCTTGGTGCAATTGGTGCATTTGCGCTTTGTACTAGTTGTAGGAGTTGGCTGATATACCGATGACTCAGATTGAGAGTCGTCATCTTGGCGTTGAACGGTACGGCGTGAGTCCGCAGGAGAAGTGATCAAGTTGTGATGTTTCCTAGCTGGAGAAGGCCGGGAATTATGACAAACACTGGCTTGGGAGGATGACATGACAGAAGATAGTGATGCTGCTATAGGAATCAAGCAAAAGCTGAAAGAATAGCGGAATCAAAGGGAAACAAAAAGAAATGGAAAGTGAATGTTAATAAATAAAATAAAATTGAGATTGGGAGAATATAATCTGAATACTAAAGTAATAGGGCATACCCTTTTAACATGATAGATAGCCCGGTGGCCACCAATATGGCAACATGTTTCCATAGACCCAGGCCTAGATTGCTCCTGCCAAAATTAAATCCATTGATTAGGGAAGCAAGGTGTAATACAAAGTGGGAAATCAGATCAAATGAGCGGAATCAAGACTAGAGGGATGGATGACTCACCAATCTGACAATATCTTCATTGATCGGTTGCCTCCTTGCGTGGAGGGTGGTGTAATGAGGAAACGGGATGGAAAATGTAAAGGGATAAGGTTGGCAATACCAGTACTATAGCAGTATAGTACCGGTATTGTAGGTACCCGCCATTTTGGTACCAGTACAGTACATGTGAGGGAGATACTGTACCGATTACAGTACCTAAGAAAACGACACTGAATTTTGGGCCCTGGAGTACAGTAATGAATTCCTAGGTACTGTACTACTAGATACTGTGCTGTAAAAAATAGGTACTATACTGTACTGTACCAATACCAGTACTGTACATACCTTGGTACATAATGTACCAAGGCATGTACACCATGGATCTATTTGGCTGTTGTCAGGTGGTCTTAGTGGGCCAACAAAAGTTGTCAGCATTACACCACCAGAGGTTTTGGCCAATGTCAGGCTACCTTGGTTTCCCAACAAAAGTTCTCATCTGCATAGAAAGGCAGTCTCTGGCCAGGTCCTAGCACTTGACTGTCTGCAGGCCCTGCTAAAGGGCCACAAATTTGCCAGTGGTAGCCTGCCAGATGGCCAATGTTTGAGGACCAGATAATGGTCAGCCTGTGATGGCTGCCCACACTGGGTTTGTAAATCCGCAAGCCAGGTCACCTGCTACCTCACTGGGCAGGGCCTACTCAGCATTTGTATACACAAAAAAAGCCATGCAAAATTGGACAGGGGCCCAATCAAGCTCACTTTCAATGAAATTTCACCCTGAACCATACTTGATCATCATATTGCAAGAAGGTAGAGACAGTTTACAAAGGAAATTGTGATGTTTGATAAGAGGGAATACAACTGAAATCAATGTTTGATGGGTTTCAAAGATAAAGTTTTTTGTACATTCAATTGTTGACCAAAGATTCCTCATGAAGCACTGCTGCAGGTATACCAGCCAAAATCTTGTCGTCCTATGGCAGTTTGACTTCAAAGTCTTGTTTGTTCTCTTCCCAGCTCCTCTCACCAGTGAATAATTCCACATATTTGTCATACACCATTTTATAAAACCTGAATTATTTGCCAATCAATTTCAGTTCAAAGTAAATCCTTAATATTGTGGACCATACTTAGAGTTGAGTGAATGTAAATTCATAAATCCCTTTCTATGTTGGCACAACTTTACTGCACATTTGCTTTGGCCATCACATATTGATTACATATATGCTACAAACAATATTTGACTTTACTGTGTACCTTTTTCACATGTTTATTTGTCACTTTGTCCAGTGGTCTGTCTGAATCTCACATCATTGATTTCTTTATCTTTCAAACTCACCATAACCTATGCCAGAAGATATCCCTACAACAAGAGAAATTGAAACTATGTCTAAAAATGAAGAAATGTGAATATCTTTTTGCAATTTTTATACTCAGTAGTATTATTCTAATTTACTCCAATGATAGAATTTTATGGACTGAAATAAAAGTGATGACAATAGAACTTGGAAATGAGAAAGTCTGACAAGAAATGAGAAATGTAAGAAAAAAACTTCAACAAATTCAACAATAAAAAACATTATAGCAGAAAGTGAGTCAACAAACAGTAGAACATATTATAAATGGGCACTAAGACCTATTCAACAGTATTAAGAACAAATAACCAAATTGGCAAGTATTGATTTTTGTTTTATGTCAATGATTTCAAAACAAATACCAGGAATGATGTCAAAACATACAACTATCAACCCTTCAACTGCTACAAATTAATCCTTGACCAACCACAACAGCTTAACCTATCCCCTGCTTCCAGCACACTGATTCCAAACCTTCTTTCTTAGGTCTATCTTTAAGATTATGTAGTCCTGGAAGCACTTTAGCAAGTATATGTTTGATATTCATTTGAATTTTTTGTATCTTAAATCATCAACTTAAATCTCAAAACTTTTCTGTGCATTCATCTTAGGTATGGCATGTTTTAGATAGTATTGAAGAATCTCCCACTCAAGATTCTAGTAAATGATTCATATCCTTTTAAAAAAGAAGAATGAATTTACAGTGACCACTGATTTAAGCTTGTTCGTCATTGGGTTTTGTGCCTTTTGGTGATTGGATTATTGTTCATTCTGATATTATTTTGAGAGGAGACAACAATTCCTATAGGGTTGTAGAAAAGGTAAGAAGGCTCTCATTTGATTAGTTTACCATTGAACTCACTCCTCATGGATGCCTTTTTGGTTTGGTCATACATGTGTTTTGTTTTTGAAGGCATGCAGAAAGACCTCTTTGACTGTTTGTTTATAATGCTGATTATGAGGTTACACAAGAAGTAGTCATCATTTCAAACATAACAACCCTTTCTTTACTGAATTTAAGACTTTGACCCATACAATTGACAAAAACTGACTAATGATTTTCTTTTACCAACACTACACCAAATGTAATCTTTACCGGGCGGTAAAGAAAACTACTGACATAGAAAAGTCCTGAGGAAACAGGAAGAGAGCTAAAAATCTGAAAAAATATGCACCTTGTTCCTAGATCTTGGGGCGTCATGATGAGTATTTTTTTGTATTTTACACACAGATATTGGTTTATGTACTAACAATAAACGCTGAAAATCATCAAAAACTCACATGTAACAATACCTGAAATTTGGGTCATGAGTATGAAGGCAATATTTTGTGGTCTAAAAACTTCAATAACTTTTGCAATTCTGCTCCAAATAACTCGATTTCTGGTTCATTCAAAAGCTGAACTATTCTCCTTCACACTTCATAATGCTAGTAAGGTGCTATCTAGTCATTTAAACACTCTACATATGCTCAAACACTTCTGTATGAATAGCTCTGTAGGAACTTTTTTAGACCAGCTACAGATGTGATGTCTCAATGAAAAATGTAGAGGAAAGGCTCACCTTTTTAATGCACTTCAAATCGAGTGATTTGATTCAGAACCGCAAAAGTTATTGATGTTTGAAGATTCCAAAATCCTGTCTTCAAAGTCAAGGGCCAAATTTCAGGTATTGTTACAGGTGGGTTTTTGATGATTCTCAGCCTTTATTGTTAGTACATTAACCAATATTGGTGTGTAAAATACAAAAAAATACTCGTCATGACGCCCCAACATCTAGGAACAAGGTGCATATTTTTTCAGATTTTTAGCTCTCTTCCTGTTGCCTCAGGACTTTTCTATGTCAGTAGTTTTCTTTACCGCCCGGTAAAGATGACATTTTGTGTAGTGCAAACATGTCCCAAACTTCATATTAGCAATTCTGGGCACCAGGAGAAGGTATATTAGGATGTTCAATAGGGGATTGGTACATGAAATTCCAAAAAAACTACTTCAACTGATGCACCGTCTTCATCAATTCTTCAACTGTGGAAAGATTTCAACATCAATGTTGAATGGTAGAATTTTCTTGGCTGACCGTGATACAACAGATCTTGATCAAGTCAAGGGTTGAGTTGTTGCAGTCCAAGGGTGATATGTTGCATACAGAAGGTGAGCTTTTGCATGTGTATTTTCTAATGTTGCACTTGACCTGTGTGCAAGTTGCAGGGCACCATAAGTTGTTGCCATCAATTTTGACTTGTACACGCAGGGCATGTATAATCCCCAAGTGTGCAACAGTGTGTTGCAGCCCCCAATGCAACACAACATTGCATGTGGAGTCCATGGTTAGAACACACATCTGGAGCAAGAGGGTTGTGGGTTCAAGTCCTACTAGACACATTGTTTTATGGATCCAACAGCGGCACAGCTGGTATTCAGGGCATCCATTGGCACTGACTCATGTGGTGAGTGGGGCCCAATTGCAGGCCTTTTGTGGTCAATTTTGGGGTTGGTGTGCACATTTTAGGTTTAGGTCTCTCCCTCTCAGTTAACATGTGATTATGGCACTGCCAGCATAGATGCCTCGGGTTGAGAAATCCGAGGCATCATCGGAGGCAAATTCCCGGACAAACCTTGTCCAAGGTATTTGCCCGAGGTATTTTTTTGCCCTGAGAATTACCTCGGATCAAAACCTTGGGAAGCTTCTGTCCGAGGTTTTGCATCCGAGGATACCTCGGATTTTGTAATCCGAGGTAAATATGTTGGTGGTGTGGGTGCAAATTATTTGTTTAGCATCTAAATTTTCCAAATTACATCTCAAAGTCATGGAAAAGATGAAGTGGAGTAGGAATAAGGACAAGAGGATGATACTGAGAGCGGTCATATAGATGCACTTTTGATTTCAAACGTATTCAACATTCAAGTTGAAGCAGAACAACCAAATACAATTGTTTTAGATGAGGGGTCTGAGAACAAGCACAGGGGCAAAAACAGATGCTCCCATTGGGGTGAGTATTGAAATTTTCTAGTTTTTTTAACATTTGTTCAATTTTACTTCCAAATTCTTTTGTTTTCTTCCTGTTTTCTTCATGTTTGTCAGCTGATTACATGATCAACAGGAACTGAGCGGATGGACTAGGTCTTCCTTGGGCTTCATTCCTTAGCAAATAAGCCTGAGGGAGGGCTGGCCCATCTGCTCACTTCATCTCAGCCCCTCAGCTGATCCTCAGTGGTATGCCTTGTAGCCTACTGATCCAGAATTTTGGACAAGGTTCTGAGCTGTTCTGAGTATGCAGGGACTCATGAACTGATTCTGAGTACTCAGCTGAGAGACTGTGCTCAATTTGGAAGCCATAGCGGGTCAACCTTCATCTGGCGCTCAAATATTGGCCATTTGACGGGCTACCACTGGAAAATTGGTGGCCCTTCAGCAGGGCCTGCAAACAGTCAAGTGCTAGGACCTGGCCAGAACATGTGCATTGTTCTTGTTTTGTGTGGACATGGTGAGATACCCACTTCATGATACTTTCAATATTCAATTGGATCTTTTTCCTAAGTAACCAAGCTGTACAAATTGTTCTTGTGCTCATGAAGCAGTGAATTATGAGAACAACAACATTTGGAGTCCATAATAAACCCCCTCTTAAAGATTAAGCCAATGAAGCATCTTAATAAAGCAGTATATGTTTCAAGTGTATCAAAAGTCTTCAAGCCAAGGGCTGTCTAGAGGTTACTGTTATTGGTGAGCTTGGACAGACATGTGATGCAGTGGGACTTCTTGAGTGGGCACTTGGTAGAAAGGATTGCGGATGTTTTCTCTCTTTCTTTCCTTGTTCAAACAAAGATATACAGGAGAGATGTGCTGTGGTTATTTTAAATAGTTGTAGGTCACCAGTGATTTACTGATTGAAATTTCAAGAATGAGGGTACTTTGGAAAGACTTGTGTATATTTTTGGGTGGTTTGAATGATTATTCAACTTTCTTATATGACATCATTGCAGCTTACCATCCAATTCAATTTCACCATCTTTTCCTCTTTACCAATTTTCCCCCATTATCTGTTGAAATAAGGTGTTAAATTGAATCACGGACGGTCAAGAACTTATCAGTCACGATATTTAGTTCAAGATTATTTAAGTTTCTTTTCAATTGATTCTATCTTCAAGAACTGATTGCATTCAACCAACTGTTTTCTCATGGGTGTAGTGTTAAAAGTATTTTCAAGGACTAGATTGTGATGACATGAGAAAGTCAAAGTGTCCTCAATTGATTTAGAAAGTTATCGTGATCATTTGTGTGAGAAAGTGTTTTCTGAACTTGTTATTCGAGACTGTGTAATTTCTCTTATATACCAGCCTCTGTTTGCCTTCAGATGATTTTCCCTTCTTGTCGAAGGAAATTATCTGAAGGTAAGGTATTATCTTTTACTATTGCTTTACACGTGTTCACTAAGCTCGTTCTTCTTTTTCTTATTCTGGCCTTATAATTTCTTTTTCTTTGTGTTACTGTCTCAGTTTTATTTGTCTCGTCTTCGTCAGGTTTGTGAGCTTCGTGCTCTAGTCTCATCTCAGTGTCTCATCAACACTTGAAAGCTGAAGCTTTTGTGTTCACCTTTATAAAGGTGTGTATTGTGTTTGCTGCTTGTCGAAGGAAATTATCTGAAGTTTTATTTGTCTTGTCTTCATCAGGCTTGTGAGCTTTGTGCTCTAGTCTTCTCAGCTCAGTGTCTCGTCAACACTTGAAAGCTGAAGCTTTTGTGTTCACCTTTATAAAGGTTTGTGAGCTTCGTGCTCTAGTCTTCTCAGCTCAGTGTCTCGTCAACACTTGAAAGCTGAAGCTTTTGTGTTCACCTTTATAAAGGTGCTTTTCCATTTTAGTCAAAATCCTGCATTATCCATATATTTCCAAATTCGTTCACTCAAACATTTATTCATATGTAGAAGTTTTAAAACCCTCCCTCTTAAGACTTCACCCTGGTTACTCACATTTTTTTGGTTTATTTAAAACTTGTGAGCAAGACATTATTGTTCTTTTTCTGTGACACATTATTGTTTCAGTTTCTTTATTGTTGTTAATCATTATTATTATAGCCAGTATTATTATGTACCACTGACTTCCCTGTGGGGTGTGAGTAGAATGTGGTTTGGGAATGTGGTTTTTAATTTCAAGGGCCTAGTTAAATAGTTTTGTGCGTGATTCCATTAAGTACATGGTGATACTTCCCCCCTTGGAGTCAAATATGTTACGCATATAGCTTCATTCCGTGAAGTGGTTGTGGTGTAGCTGTACCGGCTTGGATGGAAACAGGGCGAGCAACAGCTCCCTTACTCCATCGGGCTCCTTGCACAACCTTTTGTAATATGGAGTTTCGCTTATTAGAAATTGGCTGTGCGTCGGCTAGATGATTCTGGTGAGTTTGATCACCCGATGCTTGAATGTTCGAGTGCGTGTCAAACGCGTTGGTAGAGGTGAAATTACTTCCGGAACTCTCCGCAGGAGTTGCACACCGGTTCCCACCAACCTCGCTTTTCGGGTAAGATGGTGAATATATGAAATTTGCGCCATTGAGCATTCTCTGAGAAGCTATCGAGTGTTCTGTATGCATTTTTTTGATTGTTCCCGTCCTGATGGCTGTGAGCGACCTCCAGATAGAAGTGCTTTAATTTTGGTTCGGAATTTGGGGAAGTAGGTGGTGTCTGACGTTCTTTTGTCGCCATGACGAGGGGTGGAAGCTGAAAGTGTTGGTCAAAAAGATATTTTATTAGACCACAAGATTCTTCCACTCCAGTAAAATGCATTCCTTATGTAGAGTGAGAAAGATCGTTCCTTCTTGGATGGAAAAATGACTAACACTGGAAATTAACACTGTCGGTGTAAGCTTCCTCAACACTGGAGCATCAGAAAGACAGTATTTCAGCCCTCCACGCAGCCATAATGCGTGGTCATTTCAGAGGGACCAGTGAAGAAACTTACGAGGGAAGAATCAGGTCTTCACAGGATATCCAATCGTACTGATCCCACATCTTTTGCAGCTTGGAAAGTTGTAGGCACTCTGTTTGTAATAACAATTCTTCAGGCGACGGAAATTATTTTGTTCGGAATGGGATTGTAAAGTTTAGGATTTGAATCGCGTTCAGGTCTCCCAGATGACAAATTTCTTCGGCGCCGCGAGACGGTGCGGCGTTTTATCAGTTTTATCTCATTCTACATGCACAATGGCAAAGATAGAGTGGCAACCGTGGCAAACAAGCAACTTCGCACGCCCTCGACGTCCGAAAGCAAAAGACATGGTTCATCTTCACAGATCCTTTCCAAGAGTATGTGCAGCAATGCACATCGCGATTAGGCTTCCTACCTTGAGCTTGAGGACTCAGTAGTGCAGGGCAACGAAGTTGTACTGGACGCTACGGCCCAAAAAGACTTGCCAAACGCTCAGAGTTTAGCCCACTGTAGCAGCTTTCCTCCGCCATCGAAGGATGGCGGCAGGTGGAGGGAAGCGTAAGTGATGGACTCGCATGATCGCAAGCGACCGCCTGCTCATTCGTAGGATCATTGTAAACCGCAAGAAATTCATCCTTCACCCCTGACAACAGTCGCAGCAATCACTCATTTTTGTGACGCAGCTTGGCGGCTAACTGGTTCCCTGTGAAAAGTGATTATTTGAAGTACAACTAATGCGTTGTCATTAGATAAAAAACATGTGCCCCTTGTAAGCTTTGACGCCTGTAGAGGTTTCTATTAAAGTTTTAAGGACAAATTGTCAATGTGTATAGACCAAAAATACAAAGCAGCTGGTGAGTGGTAGGTCACTCATTGCAAAGTCTTTGCAATATTGAATGAATGAAATCTATTAAACGAAGGTATAAAAAATGTTCTTTGGCACAGAAGGAAGAAACTGATAGGAACGTCCATTCTTGATATCGGTATGAAGCCCTTTCCCATGTCCTTGCCGTTTGAGACACGGATCGAGGATCTTGAAGAAGCAATAGATTACTCAAAAATTTTCAAAGATTCTCAACTCCTCTTGGAAATCAGCACTGTCTAGAAGACTGCCTAAAGTCAAGGCTGGCAAGCTCGATCGGGATGACTGGTGACGTATTTCGGCTTGTGAGGATGCTCGATAGAAAGGATTGGGGAGGTTTTCTTTCAAGTCTTCTTCCGCTTTCATAGAGAAATGAGATATAACCCAGAAGAGACGTGCCACGGTTCATTAATCATCATGAAAAGAACCTCTTTTGAATCAATCAGATCACCTACACTTAATCGTCCCGTGAGGTGGTTGTGGTGGGGTCTCAGCGCTGATGGAACTAAGAGGGCGTGTAAAAGCCCGATTACTTCGAGTGACTGATCGGGCAACCTTTTTGAAGATGGAGTTCCGTTTAGCGCAAGTTGGGTGTGAATCAGATACATAATCCTTGAAAGGTTGATCGCGAGGTGTTTGAATATTGACGCTCAAGTTCGATGCGGTCCCAGACGAGAGATTGCATTCTGAGCGATTTACAGGGCTTGCATACCCATCGCTATCATCTTCTCTGTTTAGGAGTCGAGGGGTATCGCTGAAGTGTTTGCCATTTGGTACACTTTGAGAAGCATTCGAGTCGTCTTCATTGGATGGTATACATATTTCGGGTATTAATGGTCGTGAGCGCTCTCCCAATATAAGTGCCCTCATTTTCAATCGAAACCTTGGGAAAGACGGAGTGTACGCCGTTCCTTTTCCGCCGCGATGAGAGGCAGAAGCTGATCGTGGTGGTCAAACAGAAAGATCAGGAGAGTTGTCAACTTCAGTACAACCCATTTGTGGTGTGTACATAGAATGAATAAGGTCGCTTTTCATCCAATCAAAGGATCACCAACAAGGGGAATGTCCGTCATCGATAGAATTCTCTTCATCACTGAGAAATAAGGAAGACAGAATAATTCAGCTCTTTACGCAGTCATCATGCGACGTAATGTCGAAGAGACGGGTGAAGTGACATACGAGGGAAGAGAGAGGTCTTCGTTCGAATTCCAGTCAGAATGATCCCACATCTTTTTGCAGATAAAAACGGTTGAGAAAGTAATCGGTCTCCTAATGTGATTCAAACAGTGGGCAATATTTCAATCAGGACGAATCTGAATCTCGATGATCGATCATTGGGTCTTTTATTTTATTGGACTGCGGAGTTACACGACTGGCAGATAAAAAATCATAGTTCCATAGGAGTCGCGACACATGGCGATGTTTATAAACAAGAGCGGAATACATATTGCAGTCCGTGGCAGACAAGCGATGAAGAAATTCAATGGTGGCTTGGTATGCACACGAGGAAAGACGAGGAGTGTTCAAATTTTTCAATCTTTAAGACTCGGAGGCGCAGACAAAGTTACAAAATATCGGTGTTGTATATTCAATCGTTTTGTACCATTTCTTTTTCCTTACACAGCGCCCACTCTATCTTTCCCTACCTTTCCATCATGAAAGGTACACACACGCATTCAGTCTTTGCTTCATGCAAGACTCATCTTATAAAGCTGATAATTAACATTAACAGATTTCGAACTTTGATGTGACAAAGAGTATGACACAGCGCCAGTTTCGATAAGGAGACAAACGATGAAAACCGCAATGGTATGCTGTTTATAAAGCTTGAACTAAGCTTAACTACGGATGAGCATCTCGTGCGGTAAATCGCGGTAGGTCAAAATTTAAAGCAAATGCGGGGCCTTTCCCCCACTGGTGAAAAATCAGCCCCGCGGTAGTTAACTTTTTTCGCATTGGCAAATCGTTAAATTCAACAATTGGCTAATGCATGCTTTATCTCAAGTGAAAGTCACACTTGGTCACGGTATATTTGACCCAAAAAAATCAAACTCAACTCAACTTGACGTCCAAAAGCCTCCAACGCCAGATGGAACAACCAACCCCTACTAAGAGCATCCCCAGCCGTGTGCCGTAAACCGTGCCGTACGTACATTTGGGGTACTTTTATCCACAGCTGTTACCCCCAAGCACATACATACCCAGCTTGGGCAATTCTCTACGTGCAAGTTGAAATAGGCCAAACATCTTCTTTTTCTACTCACACCCTAAATCCTTCTGTACCTCACTTCTCCCATAAACTCCAACTTGTACAATTGGGCTCTCCGTACATCATGCACATCAATAATCATCTAAGCCATAACACATTATGCTACAAGTTGAACTGTAGGGAACCACAGCTGTACATGCTTCAAATTTCATACCTCAAACGGTTCCTTAAACAATCTGTGCAACCCTCTGCATGTTACCGATTTACAGCGCGGCTGGGGATGCTCTACTCACTTCACACACCATGTGAAATGAGAACCATAGAATGTACATGAACGGAAACAAAAAAAAAAATCATCGTGATTTTCAATTTTCTTGTGTTTGTTCCTTTTTTTATATCTAGGTCAATTAATCAACGTTTTAGGCTTTTTTGAATCATGATAGGTCAATCAAAGAATTCCAACTTCAAACTAATCAAAATTTAGGGTATGTATACAAATATGGTTCTGAAAATTTACAGAATGGGTTTCCCTGAACACCAGAAGTTTTTTTTGGGTGTGTTCTGACCTTATGGTGTTCTGAAGCTTTGAATAACCAACACTGTGTGTTTTCCAGAACATCATGAGGCTTCTGGTGTTCTGGAAAAAGTTGTGTGGAAATTTCCAGAACAAACATTGTATACCTTCATTAGATGAGACATTTCAAAGCAATACAATCTCTTTGTTATGTCAGATTTTTGTAAAAGTTACTTTGAAGCATGATTGAGCGTGGCCAGTGTGTAACACGTGCATCATCCATAAAGTTACAAAATTTACAGCACTGCTAATGCAAACAAGTGTGGAATTTTGATGAATTGAGTAAGTTTTGACTTAATTAGGGTACTCAAATCAAGTATATAAATGCACATAATCTTTGCTACATACTGTTTTGGCAGGGGAAACAAGGCAAAGGGTGTGTTCTCATTGTCTCACAGTACGTATATACCAAGCACAAAAAGGTTTTAACCACTTAATTGGCCACTGTGTATTTCATCAAGGCCACCATAAAATCACAACACATGATACAAAGAAAAAAAATAAGAGAGAATAAATTATTGATGACACTTACCTTTGCAATCATGATCATTGTTTTAATCTGTTTGCTGTTACTAAACAAACAAAGAAATGAAGAAAGCAGCCACAACTAAGTGTCAAACACTCTTCTCTTCCTGCCTTTGGGGTTAGCCTTAGCCTGAACCTCTGTACTGGCCTCTTGGTGTCTGACTTCTTCATTTTGTAAGATCTGTTCAATTTTTTCCCTTTCACCACACTTTTCTTACCATTTGAAGTTTTTCTAGTTGGCCTTACTACATATTTATGAGGTGACAGACACAGCAATCTGACAGGGCTAGAATCTGGCATTGGTCACTTGATAGAAAGGTGTAGGGTCAGGGGGTTCTTTACTGGTTTGGCCTGGAAATCTGTTACCTCCATGGAACATGGCTTGTCACAATTGCTTTCCAAAATAATTAGTTTCACATCAGGTGGAAGGGGAGCTGAGATATAAGGTCAGTAAATTGTACAATATAGAGGTGGAGATAGGGTACAACTTATAAG